TCTCCAGCCAGAGGCAGGACTAGAAGAGAGCTTCACCCAGGGCCATGCTTTCTAGCCTATCACCTGAGTCCCTTGGCCAGCCATTCACAAACATTTAAAACCAGACTTCCAACGGTAAAAAAAATGTTGAGCATATACTGCCCTCCTTCATGTGTGCATGTATGGGCCTATATGTAAGTTGAACACTTATATGTTAAATACAAGCTTAACTTAAATTACCTTAGATAAAATATCTATGGCTAGAAGCTCTTATCGTTTTTCACATAGTCCTCCATGGGATTTTTGCACCAGGTCCATACTGAGTCTGTACCTCACCAAAGGGCGCCTAACACCACAGCTCCAAGCCTCATTCTTTCAAGCTCTTTCCAGCTCAGCTCAGCATAGGGGCTTCTTCATGCAGTGTGCTTCATCCCGTCATCAAGCCCCATGCTGCATTCTTCAAGTCAAAGCCATTGCCCCAGGCCCTCTGTTCCCCACTGCTCCTGCCTTGGAGTTTCACTTGTCTCTAACAGAAAACAAGAATATAGATTGGTCCCTCCTCCTCCATGGTTCTGAGGATCAATTTAGGGCCTCATGCATGCTAGGCAAGTATTTTCTCTGAGCTGTAACCCCAATCCCAGAATGGCCTGGTTCTCTCTGTTTCTACCACCAGATCTCCAGAATCAAACTCTGCATTAAAATATCTGTGTGAAAAAATTAAAATTCACACAGGCAAAATCAAATGCATGCAGATAGTCCAGAGGCCCTGAGACAGACAGCCTGCATCCAAACTGCAGCCTCACAGCAGAAGAGTCTAAAGGGGTCCAGCCATTCAAGAGGATGGGGAGTTTCCTTGTCAGTGCTATGGAGGCCTTTCTGCTCCTTCCAAGGAGACAAACACACATGTGAGGGCTGCTAGAGCATTGCTCAGCATGTGGAGGGAAAGCCGACTTCCCCGGCCTGATGCACTGGGACCTGGGGCCTCCACGGTTCCCTTTCTACTGCTGCTTGGCATTTGACAGGGTTTAATGAGGAGGTTCCTGGGGTGGCCCTGGGAGGCCTGTGGGAGGTGGGCATGCAGCCAAGAGAACCTTGGAGGATGCTGAGTGCTGCCACTGCCAGGCCTCAGAGGCAGTGATGTAGTACATCTCTGGGGTCCCAGCAAAACAAGCTGATGCCCTCCTGGGAACCAGGTGTCACTCTCCCAACACAGGGCTCCTCCACACCATTATTAACTCCTGTCTGTCCTTGGCAGGAGATGTAAAAACATTTATTGTCCCATAAAACCCAACCCCCAGATAAGAGAAATGACTTCTAAAACGCATCTTGCTGAAGAGGGATTTCCATAGCAACTTCAGAAGTATGTGCATACAGCTAGAGACAAGTCCAGCTGATGGAAGCCACCTGGACCATATGCAAACCCTGGCCTGGGTGGCAGCAGCAAGAGCAGGTTCTAGAACCTGTCATCATGCTTAATGCCCTTGACCAGCCACCCTCTCTAACACCAAAGGTGACCGAGTCACCATCACATCAAGCTGAGAGAGATCAGGGTCATCTTTTTCACATCCGTCTCCCACCCTGGTCCAACTCTTCAGTCTCTCAGCGCAACCCCTCTCTCAATGTCTCAACCACCATACTTATGATTTGACCTTGGGAAGCACAGGGTCACCTACAGCACTGAAAGAAACTGGCTGGCCATTGTAAGAGAGCTTTTCCTGCTTACCTGAGCTCTGTGTATGCTTTCTCGGTCCTATGGGTCAGATTCTGGGCAAGGGTCAAAGACCACGAGATTTGGAGACAGAAATTTGGGGGTGTGGCTGTGCTCAGGATCAACATAGAAAGCAGGCACAGGTGAGGTGCAATGGTGACAGAAACCTCAGGTGATCCCTTAGGGGCCCCTAGGTGGCCCTAGAGAATTATGCTCTAGGAGGTAAAGGGCTCCTTAAACTCTCCTGCTAGCCCTGAGTAAGGGGTGTGACCCTGAGTCAGGCAGTTCCCTCGACTGGCCAACACAATCCCAGGTGAAGGCAATGAGTGCCCCCGTCAGCAGAGGGTGGAGCAGATACCCTCTCATGTCCTTTGCGCGCGCGCGCGCGCACACACACACACACACACACACACACAAATGTCCATGCACATGTGAGCATGCCCACACATACACACTTTCACAGACATACATGCATGTCTACACATGCATGCACACACGTGAATACTTCATTGAACATTAAGTCAGCCCTGGAAACAGCATGGCAGAGTGATCAAGGACACAGACATCAGAGAAGACCAAACAGCAAGCCTGGCATTTTTGTGTCACCACAGTGGCCCTCAGACCTCAGACTGAGAACATGGCTAGGACAGTCTGGAGCACAATTCCCTGTCCCCAAGGGATCCAGCCTGGGTTGACAAGATAAATTTGAAGTTTAGGGCAGAAATCAGGCTTCCATTCTGGCTGCACACTTAGGAGCCCTGTGACCTCAAGTCAGTTATTTTCCAGCAGTCAACTCCAGCGTGAGGACAGTCAGAATTCCTTGGGTCTGTTGTTGGGTTAGGCTGGGATAACATGAAGCATGAGATACAGAGCCAACATAGCGGGAAGCAGGAGCCAAGGCACTGTCCCTGTGCTCGGTGCCACATGCCTAACCCATCCCGAAGGAAGCCTGTGATCACACAACCCATTCCTACAGGAGGGCCTGGCTGGCTTTGTTTCCTGATCTTCATCTGGGGCTCTTGAGCTCTGTTTGTAGAGAAAGCAGCCGGGGAGTCTGTAGCATCACAGGCTAACGTAGTTTAACAAGGGCTAATCTTGTTTAACCTGGGCTAACCCAGGCTAACCATCTTAATGCAAGCTAACCTTGTCTAACCAGACTAACCTGGCCTGGACCTGGAAGCTTTGGAGGGTAAATACCAACAGTGATACAAATACTTCTGAAAACTAGGCTCTCCACAATGTGGTTATTCTCCAGAAAGAGTAAATAAGTTGCCATACTTGTGACAGTTTCAATAAACAATGCAGCTCACTTGTAGGTATCTGTTTGTATGTTCAGGCTGTCTGTTCATCTGAAATACATGCCAGACAAGGGGGACAAACATGGAAAACCTCAAGTGCCCCAAAGAGCTATACAAATTCAATTACCACTGTTGGAAATCTTGGCTTCTGATGATTAGAAAGGAAAACAGGCTGAGTATCAGCGGGCATTTGGTAGGCGTCTGTCTATTCTGGTTATAAAAAAGGCAACCACAAAGTTCCCGAGTTACCTGGGGATTATACAATGTATGTTATTAACTGACTGCCATTGCATGGCAAGATACAGCTTGCAAGGATCGCTTTGCTCAACTCAAACAATAAATCCTATAACATAGGTATCATTATCCTCATTCATTATTGAAACCCAGGGAGGTGGAGTGACTGGTATTCCTCAGGAGAGAGTCCCTCCCATAAGGCAGCCAGCATGGTGGCACACACCTGTCATCCCAGCATGAAGAAGCAGGACGAGGGAATTCGGAAACAGGACAGAGGGAAATCAAAAGTTCAAGGCCTGTCTGGCCCACCCTGTCTCAGATAGACAACAAAACAGTCCCATGAGGAGTTTGGGGTTGCAAGCAGGCAGGGCACCCCTTTCTCTGTTGCAGGAATGGATTTGCCAGAGAAGGTTCTGGAGAACTGTTTAGTATGGATCCCTGCTTGGAGAAGAAGCTCGGCTGCTGAGTTAAGGTAGGGCTCAAGATAGCCGGGTGGTGTGGCTTTGGGCTCCCTGTCAGAGTCCCCCAATCCAGAAGTCACAGCTTGGTTGCCAGAGGCTGCCCCTCACATTCAAAAGACCATGTTCTGGGCAGCACAATGCCTCAGTCTGAAATCTGAGAGCCATACCAGACAGACTGAGCACCCCAAAAGCAGGGGGAAATTTATTTCATAGCTCCCACATGAGATCCATTCAAGCCACTCTCCACTAAATTCTCTGTCTTGTTTTGTATCTGCTCAGATATGGGCACTTGGAAGATCTGACAGTCAAACTCTAAGTACTGATGCATTAGGGATAGCTACCTGGATCTGTGTAAGCAGCACGGATTTTCTCTGTGCCTTCCCACACAGAGAAGCTCTCTACCCCTGGAGCATGGTTTTATCCATTTCAAGTACCCCCAGGAGCATGGCTTTATTCCATTTCAAGTGACTCTTACTTTAAAATGAGGAAACTACAGCTTCTCGGGCAGACTCCAGAGTCCTTGCCTGGATTTGGACTCTACATGTGAAATATGATTAGAACAAGATACAGTGTCAGCTTGAAAAAGACAGTGTCACCGACAGGGCCTGAGGGGTGAGAGAGGGAGGTAGTATCAGCCTTAATGGGACACACAAGGGTGGCTGATCATCGCAGAGCCCTCAGGGCTCAGTTCCTTCTCTCCCATCATCTGTTCTCTGAATCACCAGACCCCTAAAATCTTCCCTGAAACTCTCCAACTTTAAAGTGCATATGAATCATGGGGAGAAGCTTCTAGAATGCCAGTGCTGAGTCAGTAATTCTGGGGTGAAGGCCCTGTATTCTAACAAGTCCCCCAATGATGCTGATACTGTCAATCCGTGGACCAAACCTTGAGCAAGGACATATTAGTAGTGATGTGTGATTTTTAAAAATAAAAGATCTGTGGGCAACATCATTATAGAGGAAATTTGAACTAAGCAAAAACGAACAGGCTTCATTACTGTAGCACTTATCAGAGCTTTTAAAACATCAGCAAGCACCATTCATCCCCAAGAGGAGAGCATACAAAAAGATCGGTAAATACCATCAGGGGTTAAGATGTAACTGGAAGGCTTTGACACACTGCTCTAAAAGACGGAACAAAAGTTAGTCCTGTGTGTTTTTCCAGCTTACCTGGGCTTTAATATTTCAGCATCCTAAGCCAGCTCTGCCCTCTCCTCTGAGATGTGTGAGAACATCCCTGCCTCCTCCATGAGATCTTAGACCTGGGCCTCCCTGCTTCTCCTCCCTTCCCGTACCATGCTCAGAGGCTCCCTGGAGTACCTTTCGCAGACTCGCACAGTCCAGGCAGCGATGATCCACAGAGAGATGCTGAACACCAGCAGCACCGTTCCAGGGCAGATGGTCATGAGTGTCTTCATGACGAATCTGGTGTTGAAGTTGATCTTGTTGAGGGCCCCGATGCTCCGGGACGAGGCGTCAGTGAAGAGCTTGCTGTGTAGCAGCATGACTCGGGCGATCAGGTACAGGCGCAAGAACATGGGAATGGACAAGATGATGTCCACATCAGCCTCTGCCCGAGAAGGGGTGTAGGAGAAGGCCAGACGTGCGGTCCAGAAGAACTTGTACTCTCCAGGAATAGGGTGGATGGCACACACCAGCATCTCCAGGCTGATGTAAAGGATGCGCTCATAGGTCATGGCTATCCGCCAGTCATCTGCACCATTGTCGATCACAAAGAGCTGGAGGGGCAGAGAGCGCATTAGTGTGGCCAGAACAGGTGAGCAGGAACGTCACAGAAGAAGCGAATGGGGTACCATTAGCCTGACCACCTCAGGGGCAGGCTGCGATTCTACCTGTGGTGAGAGCCCAGTGGAGAGTTGAGACCTGCTTGGGTCTCGGCACCTTGCATTCCTCCTCTGGAAGTTGCTTCCTAGGATACTGTTATGTGTGTCTATTTGTCTGTCTGTTTGAGACAAGGTCTCACCCTGTAGCCAGCTAGCCTTAAACTCATGGAAATCCTCCTGCCTCAACCTTTCCAGTTCTGGGATTATAAGAATAAGCCAGCATGACAAGCTGGCTATTGAGGTTTATAATCAGAAAGAATACATTTGGTCTTCAACTTGGCTGAGGCATGCAGCTACCCCAGGAGAGGGATGGGAGGACCCCAGCAACACACACACACACACACACACACACACACACACACACACACACACACACACACACGCACACACACACACAGCACACACATCAAACACACACGCACGCACACATCACAAATGCATAGACACACATATACACCACACACACCATACATACATACCCCATACCACATACACAATGAGCTTCAAAAATGATGAGTCTTTGGGGGTGTTACATTTTGTTTTGAGACAGGGTTTCACTATGTAGCTCTGGAAGTCATGAGTTTTGTTATGTGGACTAGGCTGGCCTTGAACTCACATATATCTACTTGCTTCTGTCTCCTTAGTGTTAGGGTTAAAGGTGTTCACACTTGGCTACTATTACTTAGTGCTGAAGTTTAAACCAAAGGCTTCATAAAAGCCAGGCAAGTGTTTTTGCCACTGAGCCCCATGGCCAGAAAACAGCCAAAATCACCTGAATGCTGACTGCTTTGGAAGCACTGGCCAGCCACTGTGTAGGAGCTAGGAAGAGAATATTTATCAGTCCTACCCTCCCCAGAGTGGCATCAGTGACAAAGGATTTCATCAAGTGTGCTATCATACAGTGATCTTCTGCAGAACCCAAGGACAAGGTTTGGAGACTTCTAGAGAGCTGAGCACAGGAGGTACCTAGAAGGCAGCACACGCAGGGAAGCCCCTGGAATTCCATGCCCTTCCCACACTCCTGCCCGGCGAGTCCATCCTAGCTTGTTGCTAACAGGGTTCTCTGAACCATCCTAAAGAAAAACTGTGCAAATGTTTTCCTGGGCTGTGCACCTGGCTCCAGTAGATGAATCAAATACAAAGCCCAGGTCACAGGAGCCTGGACTCACAGCCCCATGTAGGCTTTGGAAGTGGGGCCAGAGCTGAAGGGCCAGGCCAGGAGCCAGTGGCATCAAATGCTAACTTCAAGTAGTTAAACTGCAGAACATCCCTTTGGTGTGCATGTTTGGTGTGTGGACAAAACTCCCACAGATCCAATGAGCAGAGTGCTTTGCTGAAGGAAAGTAGCAGGAGAAGGAAAGTGTTGGGTCAGTCTCTTTCTGCTCTACATGGCCAAGTTCCTTCCAGCACGAAGGATCCAGCCTCCATGTGTTAGTCTGTGCTAAGGAGGATTAAGAGTGCTTTTGTGTTTAAAAGGGAAACAAAAACAGAAAATGCACATCTCTGAGTGTGGCATGATGGAGAGGGGTGTTCCTTGTATCACTGAGCTCACCGGGCAGCCAGGTTCCTGACCCCAACTCAGAAGGGACAGCAAGTGTCTGTCTGCTGTCCACACTGTACACTTGAGCAAGGCATGGAGCATTCACTGCCCGGCTCCTGAGCCTAGTACTAACCAGTTCGGTAATGCTGGGTGTGTTACTGAACCTCACTACCCCTCCATTCTCTTGTCTGGGGATGTGACATCTGCTGTAAGCAAATCAGAGAGGCTGCAATGGTGCAGTTGCATATATCGTGCACAAGAGTATACCCAATGTGCAACAAAGCCTGCCTAACACCTATCACACTATTAGCTATTATGAGCCAAGTGGTAACTATTAGCTATTGTTAATATTAGCTGTGACTGTTATTTTTAGCCTTCTGAAGGCAATCATGTTGGTCTTTTCATACAATGGGGAGAAGGCTCGGCGCTGTCTCCGTTCCTCTCCAGTACCAGCCTTCTCCAAAGTTTTGGATCCTGGGGCCAATTCATGAGGATCCACTCCAGCAGGCATTCCCTGGATTCATGCCTTGCCCATACTCTGCTGAGATTTACATCTGGGGAAGGCCCAGCCTTTGTCCCCAAGGAAGCCCCGCTATGTGGTCCCACTGTGTATGATGACTGCTCAGGGACTGCGCTTCCATCTTTCAGAAAGCTCCGTCTTTTCCTCTGAACAGAGGAGCCTCAAAGGTCCTAAGAAACTGGGTCCTGGCTGACGCTATAGTCAGGACAATGGAGGTGCCCATCACACCCCCTGTACCTCCCTGGCTGCCACCAGCTGCCATGCACCCCGATGTATCCTGCCCAGAGCCCCAGGGAGCTGTAGCCTTCCAGCGTGGCTTCTGCTTGCCTTTAATGAAGAGCTAGAGTGGAGGTCTTGTGGCTTAACTCGGCTGCTGCTCAGGGACAGAGAGCCTCGCAGAGCAGGCATCCCCACTTGCACATCCTGAAAGGAGGGTGACCCCCGAATCCTGCCTTGGACGGCCAGTTCTGAAAGGCCGGCAGTCAGGCGGGGAGAGGAAGGAGACGATGATGTAGCAGGAGCTGTAGAAGGATGAGTTTAACCTAAAACCCAGCATCTGCCAAGGAGAATAGACAACTGCACCATATGCTGAGCCGGCCAAAGGGTAGATGAACTGAGCCCCCTTCCCTGGCCACTTCTGCCTACAGCAGGCTGCATCTACCTCCTCCAAGGCCTGGGCCCCATCCATAGGCCTTCACCGCTCTCCACTGCCTTCCCATGAGTGACTTCATCCAAGGAGGAAGAAAAGACTCATGCTGCCTGGGCCTAGGCCTCCAAGAATAAACCCTAAGAGTCAAATAGTCTCTGGAACACCAGATCCAAATAGAAGGCAAACAGGTGAGTCACATGATGTAGAAGTGGGGCGTGGGGGTGCTTCTTGCTTTTAGTGTCTGCCTGTGGCATTTGCATGCTATGGGATCAAGTTCCAGACATGCTTGCAGGCCACTGAGAGGCAAAGGAGGTGGCTGTGGAGGGGGCCAGACCCCAATATCACTGAGCCCCGGCTTCCCCACTCCCTGTCCTGTGATCATACAGGGCCATAGCGAATGTGAAACTCATAACCCATGTTCAACAAACATGTTAAAGGCCTGTTGGGAGGGAGAAGAGCAAATAGCCAAGCAACCATGAGAAAGCCTGGCTCAGGGGCCTCTCATCAGGAATCATCTGGGAACAGGGAAAGATTCCAGCACAGCACCAGGGGAGCCTCCTGTTTTCTCAGTGCAGTGCAGCCTGGGTTTTCCCAGACCCAGATCCATCAATTAGAAAGACAGATCTATGGCCATTCCAAGGCGTCTGTCTACTCCTAACTGCGGTCCGACAGCCCGAGTCATGGCAACATGACTATCTGCCCAAACTCTTTTTTTTCCCCAAACTCTTTAAATACAAAATTAAAGCCTTCCATCCAGTAATAAAGAAGCACATTCGGTTGCTATAGTAACTGGGTTCACGCAGTAGGAACCGAAGCAATGAGTAACGGATTCCTTTGATTGCTTGGTGGGGACTGGGCTGGTATATCATCAAAACTGAAGGATGGGGTCTCCACTAAGCTCCACAGCTCAACAGGAAAGAGCTGGACTGGGGTAGTGTCCCCAGCAGCTCTCAGGTGCCCTGTGTACTTCAGTACTGGATGTAAGGAAGATGGGGACAGTACCGGGCAGTCAAAGTCAGAGAGGCTGGTGAGCTGGACGGAAGCTTCCCACAGCCAGGTATTGGACTCGGTCTGTTTGACTGTCTCCATTACGGGACGACTCACCTGTTCCTCTGCACGCCACTGACTGTTCTCTAAGGAGGTGGATCGCAGGGCTGGCTGCTGGGGCATTTTCAAGCACTGTGCACTTGGGGGAGGTTGTTTGGAGTAGAGTAACAAGGAGAACTATTTCAGGCTGCAGACTGAGAGCACCTGCTAGACAGGCACCATGGCAGGGTTTGGTGGCTCTGCAGAGCCGGGCATCTCCCAGCACATCCATGGCTCTCCCACACAGGAGACACAGCCTATGCCTTGTGCTTTCTACCCCCTGGAACCACAGCTCTGCAGTGTGGCCTCACTTCTAGCAGACGCCCCCCCGCAGCTTCTCAGCCCCGTGTTCATTCCCTGCCAATCTCAAGTTTCAGCTATTTCTTGGTCTTCACTGCATTTTTGTCTGTCTTGTCACTTAGACCAGTGGCTGTCAGTGTGGCTGCTCATCAGAGCCACTCGGAGGCCCGTTAAAATTCCCTTTGCCTTTCACAACAGGAGCACAGCAGAAGCAAGCGGGGGGGGGGGAGGAAAAAGGAAAGAAAAGCATCTCTATGCTAAGGTCCATCCTCAGATTCTGAATCTGTGGGAGAGGAGGGCTGATGTCTTTGTGGGGTGGGGTGGGGATGACACTGGGACTATTCTTATTTTTGTTTGTACTCTGTTATGTAGCCCAGGCTGCCCTTGAACTTGCTGTCTTCCTGCCTCAGCTTCCTGGGCGCTGGGATTGTTCTCCACCAGTGATACTAAAGTGTAACCAGAGTTAAGACCCAGTAATTACAGTTGGAACTCCCTTGATCTCTACTATGGCCTATGTCTAACCTCAATCTTAGCATGTAGTGGGTGTTTATTAAATGCTGCCACTTAAGTGACTTTGGACAACTAAATCTTTCCTCTCTTTGGGCTGTTTCCTCCTCTGAGGATGAAGAATTTCATGATGGTCCCCAATGTGCATTGTTTTAGGTTTCTGTCTGTGGCGGTTTGGAAAAAAAATGGCCCCCAAAGGGAGTGGCACTGTTAAGAGGTGTGGCTTTGTTGGAGTAGGTGTGGCCTTGTTGGAGGACGTGTGTCACTGAGTGAGTGGGCTTTGAGGTCTCCTA